CCCTTTTTTGTAAGGAGCTCACAGTTCTAACAGCCCCAAATACTGTCAATAGTGGTCATTTATCAGCTAAGAAGGCCCTCCCTACTGCCTTAGTTTTCGCACACCCTTCACTCCAGAGCAGGCTGACTGCCTCTTATAAACACGAGGAAGAAAACAGTATTTACTCTTTCTATTCCTGAATTTCTAAACCAATAATTAAGAAAACATCTGAAGGCGGCCAAGATGTATTATCTGTTCTCTCCTCCTCTGCCACTGCCCAACCTCCACCCCCACATCCTTGAGGACAAGAGGAAGAAACAGAAAAGGCAGAATTCATCAGATTTAGATTACCTGATACTTTAATTAAAGGAGAGTAAGTGGGCCACCCTGTCAGCTTAGAAACAGCAGCTGCACTGAAAGGTATTCCTTCTTGAATGAACCTGGTCACCATGGTGAGGCTTTACTGCAGCTGAACAGTCAGAGGCAGAGCAGCCGCAGGCCTGACCACGGCCACTCCGAACATCAACGGCAGGCCCGGGAATCCTTGATTCTGGTTGCTCGGTCCCGGCTGATAGCCAGGCTGCCTTGAATTGTCAGTCAGCTGGCAGGTAACTGTAAGTGCCACCAGCTGCCGACACTCCAGTCGTGGCCACATAGCAAGTTCCTGCCTTTGTTAGAGTGTCAAACCACCCTTGCCTTCCAGGGCTGTTCAACTAGAGAGGAGGATCTCAGCTCTGATGGGCTCAGGGCTAGGGGCTCACCTGGTAACTCCTAAGGTGAATGTCTGGAAGGGTAGAGAGACAGTACGATTGTATTGTTTTTCCTTTGGTTTTCTTTTGCTATAGGGTATGTGTGCTCACCAGATAGAGACAGAGCACGAGAGGGAAAGTGAGAAATCACCTCCCCCAGGGCGGCAGGTAGCCACACTTCGGTCCCTTCTCCTTTATTTTGCTCTAGGGATTTTGGGCATGCGCACACACACCCCCAGTTTGATTTTCAAGTTGCCAGGTCTAGGACTTGAACTGCAGTCAGCCATGTCAGATCCAATGCCTTAACTTCCATGCCACCTGCTGGCCTGAGACTGTATTTTTACCTCCAGTCACCAACTCTTGCATTCTCGACCTGCTCTGCCTCACAGCAGCTGTGTGACCTGGACAAGTCCCATACCTCGGTGAGCCTCAGCTTTCCTGTCTGTAAAATGGGACACCGAAGTCTGTCTTGCATAGTTGTTGGGGATGGCTAGGTATGAGGGGACTATAAAAAGTCCAGGAAGAAATGGAATTGAAGCATGCATTTGTTTTGGTGCAAGAAATTTTGAAATCAACACATAGTTTTTTTATAATATTGAGTCATCAGAAGAGTCATGACGTAGTTTTGCATACACACATAAAAAAAAGTTATGACTTTCCAGACAACCTACTAATAGGCATTTTCCATGAACTTTTTCTTCTTTTTAAATTTGCTATAGGGCACATGCACTCACCAGAGACAGAAAGAGAGAGAAAATGAGAAATCACTCCCCAGGGGCGATGGCCACACCGCAATCCCTTCTCCCCCATTCTCCTCTCTGGATTTCGGGCACATGCACTCACATACCCTGCGTGATTTTCAAGCTGCTGGGTCTGGGACTTGAACTGCAGAGTCGGTCATGTGGGAATCAGCACCTTAACCCCCACTGGCCTCTCCATGAACTTTTTGAAAACCCCTTGAACACCCGACAAAGATTGTTAGTATAAGGTGCAGAGTAGGTCTCTGGTATCTATGTGTTGGATGTCTAAAATGTATAAAACTGGGACCAGCAGTTAGCATAATGGCTATGTCACTGGACTCCCATGTAGTCGACTGTGGTTCGAGTCCTGGACCCGGTAGCTTAAACTCACACCAGGTGCGTGTGCATGCGTGCCCGAGATCCCGAGAGGAGAATGGAGAAGGGATTGCGGCATGGCCATCCCCCCTGGGGGGTGATTTCTTGCTTTCTGTCTCTCTGTCTCTTTCTGCCTTTCTGGCGAGCACACAAGCCCTAAGCAAAAACCTCTCAAAAAAAAAAAAGTACAAAACTTCTCTGATTTTGTTATGTGCAAATTTGAGGCAGTAATTCCTACTTCACGTTGCATTAAATGAATTGGAAAACACATGTATACAACTATACATAGCTACATGTTGATTAGACTGAAAAGTCTGTACTCTTTTAAAAAAAGAGTTGAAAAACTGGCTTTTCCTGTCATGTTCTGAATTTTTTCTACTTAATGGAACTTGTATAGTTAGTATGCAGAAAAGCTAATGGAATACTATGTTTCAGTTTCTCTTTGACTATGATGTTCAAATTCAATGAAAATCCAGCTGGAACAATGAACTAGTATATTTCCATGCACGAATTAGCATTCAGGAGACAAAGCAGTCAAGAAGGGAGAGAGAAATGACTGAGAAGAGCCCAGGCCTCAAATGGAATGGCTTCCTCTGCTCCCGTGTCTGTCACACTCCCATTCCCAGTGCCTGGGCTGAGGCCTCACGCTGGGCTGGACTGAAACTGAAATCCTTGGTGTGACCGTCAGAATGACACACACTTGGTCACTAGACCATGCAGGAAGCGCTCTGGGCGGGGGAGGGACATGGACATGGGCAGTGGCCCTTGAGCTCGTGTCCAGCTTATGGAATTGTGAAAAGGAACAGAACCTACTGGAACAGGGGTGTCTGTTCTCGGAGAGGGCTTATCTAGGTCTAGGGTGGGCACAGGGAAATCCCACTCACTTCCGCCTGTGCCTGCCGGGGTTGGGGTCCAGCTGCCAACTCTGTCACTTACTATCGACATGATACCAATGTAAGCTGGCAGTGCCTTGCTTGCTTCCTCGGTAAAATGGGTCCGCACTATTTTTTCTGGGTAGCAACGGTTATTTTGAGGCTCACATGAGAAAATGTTGAACGCCTTCCATAATTGTAAAGCGATTCCTGAGTAGGAGCCTCCACTGTTATTTCAGGAGTCATTAGAGGCTTAGAGATTCTGGTGGCAATGACCACGTTCTGGGCACGTCCTTCCTTCCAGGCATTGCCTGTGTGGACGCTGCATATTCATGACCCCACTGTGTGCTCACATCAGCCTCAGAGGGGAGCTGCTACCACTATCTCCAAGTTACCCACAGAGACACTAAGGTCCAGAGAGGTTAGCCACCTTGCCCAGGGTTACACAGCTAATTAAGGATGGTGGTGGGGTCTGGACTCAGGCAATGGGATTCTGGAGTCTAAGCTAAATGTGAAGCTGCAGGGTCTCCTAAGAGCATGATGAACAAGGAACGTGCTGTGAGTAAGTGTTAAGGAAACTTACTTTCCCAAAGCAGTCTCAGGGCCATTCCAACACAGAGAACAGGATGCACAGGCATGCTGGGATGTGAGTGGGAGGACGTGAGGGACAGTGAGTGGGACAGGAGGGAGGGAGCCTGCTGGTAGGTTGCCCCTCCCAGGACACAAGAGGTAGGAGAGTCCAGTGGGCTTTAGAGTGTGAGCCACTAATCCTGGCACCTACAAGCTGCCCCCTCAATAGTTTCTTCTTCTTTTTTTTCTCCTCTAAAATGTTTGCCATAGGGTGTGTGTGCTTGCTGGAGAAAAATAGACAGTGAGGGGGGAAGTGAAAAATCCCCCCCCCTCCCGGCGGAGATTTCTCTTCTTGGGATTTTGGGCACACATGCACATGTACCCAGCATGATTTTCAAGTCCAGGACTGGAACCATGGTCAGCCATGAGGGAGTCTAGTGCTGTAGCCACTATGCCACCTGCTCCCCTCCCATCAATGGTTTCTTAATTACAATGGGGAGAGGAGGCTAACCCCTGCAGCTGTTGCAGGGATCAAAGAAGACAAGTAATAATTGCTATCCTTTGTTGCAGTTGACAGCTGGTGCAGGGTAGGTGCTCAAGAAGTGGCTACTCCCGAGCATTTATGTAAGACCAGCTTGTCTTCTAGGTGACATGGCTTATCCTAGGTAGGCCATGAAAGTGCCCACATAGAAACCTGAAGGCAGAAACGCTCAGTGGTTAGAACTACAGACGCTGGGCTGCCTGAGTTCACACCCCGACTCTATCATTTACTAGGGACCTTGGGCTTGCTATTTAACCTACCTCCTAGTTACAGTGCTTACTTCATAGGGTTTGGGGAACATTACAGATTAATCAATCTGTGAAGCTCCTAGAGCCCAGCAAAAAACGCTAATCAACGCTAGCCATCCTTGTTCCATCTCCTGTACGCTGGTGGGCTGAGGGGCCACGCTGGGTCTTGTGTGGGCTGCGGTTTATACTGCAAACCCTCGATGTCCTTGCTGACTCCCCAGTCAAATCCTGGAAGGGCAGAAATCTCTGCAGCCTGGCTGTGGATTAGGCTGGATGAAACCTGGAGGGAGGGCAGTTTTTTATCCAGTAGGTGGGAGGGGATTTCAAAATGATGACCGTACACCTGGAAAACAGCTGAGGAAACGCACACGCAGCTCACTGGGTTGCTGTGCTGTTTGGAGCTAGGTATGACTCCCCTGGGTGAACTCTTCTGCTTTGGAGAAAAATGAGCCCCAAGCATGGGGTCCCTGATGAATCCCAGCCTGATGGAGGAGAGCGTGAGAACCAGAGAGGACCACTCCAGTCCCGTGTGTGTAAAGGCAAAAGGCGCCCTTTTCCAGCTGGAAGTTCTACTCTCAAGGTGTGGTCAGAAAACTACAGGAAGACCACGTTTTACTGAGTGGGCAGCGGGGGAGAAGGAGCGAGAACACGAATAGAGAGACTCGCCAGGGAGAACGCGACACACCGCACCCGGAATCTAAGCACGGGCGTACTGCACACAGCCTCGCTGCTGTTCCCGCACATGCCTGGACCTCCCGGGATCTGCTCCCTGCGGAGCCCGCGCGGGGTCTGCTTTGAACCCGCGGAGCCGGAGCACAGCCGCGCGGTGGGCAGGCGCACGCCGGCCGGCCCGCAGGGCTCTGATTGGAGGGGTGCGCGGAGCCCCGCGGCCCCCACCCGCTCGCCCGGCCCCCACCGGGCCTTACCTGAGCTGGCGCGGCTCACAGTCCAGGCTGGGCAGCAGCAGCCGGGCCGCCTGGCAGGGGCTGCCGGTTCGGCCCCACCCCCTGCTCGCGCGGATTCCCCCCGCCTCCCTGCCCCGCCCCAGGCCCGCTCTCCCTGGAGACCCCGCTTTTGAATTCCGGAGGAGCCAGAGAACCTTTGGAGACATCCGGACCCCGGCGGTGACCTCGGGGCAGGCTCTCCGGAATCTTTGGGTCTCAGTTTCCTCATCTGTAAAACGGGGATAAGGTGACTATGCGAGGACCCGAGGTAACTGCTCTGCGAATATTGCCGCTCTCAGCGATCACGTGAGCAGAAGGGAGATGACTCACTCCGCACCAAACACCGGGGCTGGAAGCTCGCTGCAAGCCCAGCAACTCCTGGTGCTGCTGCTGCTACTCCGGGCTCCGGATTCTGGAGCCTAAGGCCCTCCAGCTCACCCTCCCCACCCGCAGCCTGCTGCCATCATCCTTCTGGAGTTCTCCCAGGTCTCCGCTCTGCCCAAGCCCCAGCCTGCCAAAACGCTTTAGCACCTGGAAAAGGCCCAGTGCGAGCCAAGTCAGCAGCCCTTGACAGCCAGGCCTGGCCGTGGCCCAGGAACAGCCAGCAAAGCAGGGCTCCGGGGACCTTGGTCACACCCCAGAGCCTCAGGTTCCCCACCTGCTAATGGGATCACTACAGGGGACCGGCTTGTTGCAAGGATGAGCTGAGACGAAGCTTTGACTTTCTAAGCTTAATACATGGGTGCCATGTCCCCACTTCCCTTGATTATAAACTGTTCTCACATTAGGATTTCTGGGGTGGGAGGGGCTCTTGAAAAATGCTGCTCTTTGAGTCTTATTCCAGTTCTAGAGTGGGACTGGATGCTGGTAGTTTTGTTTTGATTTGTTTTTAATTTGTCACAGGGTGCAGACACTTGTCAGAGAAAGTGAGAAAGCACCCCCTGGGGGAATGGCCATGCCACAGTCCCTCCTCTATTCTCCTCGTGGGATTTTTGGGCATATCTGGCAGGTTTCTCAAGCCACCGGTTAAGGGACTCAAACCTCAGAGTGGGCTCTGTGGGAACCAGCCACCTTAACCACCACACCACCAGCTGGCCTGTCAATGTTGGTAGTTTTCAGACCTCTGCATGTGAATTTGATGTACACGGAATTATCTGAAGGACTTCTTAAAATACAGATTGCGAGGCTTCAGCCCCATAATTCCATGTTCCACAGATCAGGGAAGGCGCCTGGGATTTTTATCTCTAACCAGTTCCTCAAACTGATGCTGCACAGCTGGAGACCTGACTCACAGAACTGCTCCAAAATAAGTGTGAGAGGCCCACTGGGACCAGCAGGTGGCATGGTGGTTAAGGTGTTGGACACTCCCTCATGGCTGACCATGGTTCAAGTCCCGGACCTGACCGCTTACTTTCTTGCTTTCCCCTTTCTCTCTCTCTCTCTGGTCAAATTAAAATAAATGAATAAATAAAATTAAATAAAAAATAATTCTTAAAAAAATCCTGGGACCAGCAGAATCTTGGGACGAGCAGGTGGAGCAGTGGTTGAGGCGCTAGACTCCCACATGGCTGACTGCAGTTCAAGACCCAGATCCAGTGGCTTGAAACTCATGCCAGGTGCATGTGTGTGCATGCCCAAAGAAAAACAGCAGATTCTTTGGCTAGATCTCCAGAGATGATGGCAAAGAGGCCAAGATATAATTTTTAGTGAGCAACCTCTACAATTCTGATGTAGGTGGACCAAGGACCACACTTTGAGAAACGTACTATGGAGATCCAAAAGGTTTCCTACTCCTCAGCAGGGCCTGGACTAGATGGAGGCCAGGGAGTGAAGAGGGTGAACAATGTAAGGAGTCCAGCCAGCCTGTGCAAGTACGCAGAGCTCTCCTGCCATCCTAGCCCAGAGCTGTCACTCAGCTCAGCACGGCTGCCAAGGTGTGGAGAAGAGGGTGATGACTAGACAAGCTGACCTGGCAGCCACACCTAGTGGGATGCAGGTGTCGCGTGATGCCCAGAGAGCTTTCGCTGTGCTCCCAGAGTCTGACCTATTCATCTGATGTCAGGAATATCCAACAGCTCAGCCTTTTCCATTCATCTCAGTTAACTTCACTCGCGTTCTCATCTAAGGGCTAAAGACCAACCTATGAGCTACTGGGTCACTGGAAAAGTGGAGACACATTTCTGCATAGAAAAACAGAAAAAAATACATCATGACTTTTCCGACAACCCAATAGATAAGAGTATGCCCATTTTATTCATCAGGAGGATAACGTTTATTATTTATGTATTTATGTATTTATTTATTTATTTAAATTGCCAGAGTATGCATGTGCTCCCTGGGGGAGGCGGGGAAGGGGAGAGAGAGAGAGAGAGAGAGAAAGAAAGTCCCCCTCAATGAGGCATGGTCATGCCACAATCTCCCTTTCTCCATTTCTCCTTCCTTCCTGAAAGGATTCTGGACACAAAAGCACATGTAGCTTGCATATTTTTCAAGCTGCTGGGACCGGAATTTGAATCATGGTCAGACATGTGGAGTCTGGCTCCTTTAACCACTGTGCTACAGGGTGGCCCTGGCTAATGCTTACTAAAGTTAAGAAACGTGCCCTGGACCATAAGGCTATGAGACCCACAAGTATGCTAGTGGGGAATCAGAGCCAAGTTATTTGATCACGAAGTCCATGTGCCATAACACTATGTGATCCCAACATTTTCTTGTCCAACTTCCCAGCATGCACCCTGTTTCCCAGCATGCACCTGCTACCCCAGAGGAGTTGACTGGGTCATGGACCCAGGTGGTGTGCTATGTCCACTCCTGGTTGCACAGCTCAGTCTTCTGTCTGTAAGGCCCCTAGTCCTTTAAAACCTATATTCCACTTGACCTTCAAACCACAGTTCAAATCCTGGTTCTCCCTAAACTTTTCTCCTGATAACTCTCCCCACACGAGCCCTTCCCAATGTGAAGCCCACGAAAGACCACTGTGGTCTCATTCACTGACACTGCAAGGGCCCTTTTGAATGTATATACCATGAGGGCAGGGAAACTGGTGCTGCCCCAGCCCCAGGATATGCCTAGCCAGCTATAGGCACTTCATAAATAATTGTTCATGAAAAAGACTACGACTTACCATTTTCTTACTGGGTAACACTGATTGCTGTGTTCTAAATATGTCCTCCGGATGCAGTAAGAAAGCCCTCACCAGATGCCAGGCAGATGCCGGCAGTGTGCTCCTGGACTTTCCAGCTCCAGGACCATGAGCCAGTAAATTCACATTCTTTATAAATTACCCGGCCTCAGGTATGCTGTTACAGCAGCACAGAACGGACAAAGACACTGAGAAAATCGAGTTTCTGGACCCGTGGGCCTGTGGGCAGACTCCCAGGGAATTTCTGCCTGAATTAGCTGCTTAGGCTGTCTCCCTCATTCCCTCATTCTCTCCATCAATGAAACTGAATCAGGCACTCAATAAACACAAACGGACTTGAAATCGAATTGGATTCTACTGTCTCAGGTGAGCAGGACTTATTTTTGTCACCGTGTCTCCATCACCCTTGGAAACCAGCCTCAAGTGCACAGAGAACTTCCCTCTCGAGTGTTTTTCGGCGGCCCCCTCCTTCTCCCACCGCCTACTTTCCCTCTTTCCTTTGCTCAGTGGCCCAAAGCACAGCCCACAGCCCCTAGTCCCTGGGGGGGCTGTGTCTCTGTCACAGAACTGCCCTTCAGCTGCTGCCTTTCATGTAAGATGCCGAGAGGGAGGCCCAGGGCACAAAGCCAGTGCCTGAGGAATACTGAGGAGAAGCAGAAAGAGGCCCTGCTGCTTTCCAAATCCTACCTTTACTGAGACAGCTGGCAGGGCCCAGAATAAGAAACCTTGAACCCCAGGAGCCCAGCCTCCTCTGGAATCTTCTGTGTACCTATTCTCTCCTCTCAGCATTGCCTTCTTCCCGTCACTCTAACCTCAATAGTTTATAAGCTCATGAATTCTTGCCAGCAACTCATTTAAAAACCCTCTTATCTTGTCTACTCAGAGTGGGGAAAAGAGCATTATTCGTGACGTTTTCTTTGGAGGAGTTGGAGATGGGAAAGAATTCTAGGGAGTTAAGGAGAGGGTGGAGAATGCTGAGAAAAAAAAATACTGCATTCTCCTTATATATATTTTTAAAGAGAACAATGTTCCACTGGCTACTGACTTTATTCCGAAGTTGTTTGTAGTGACTAAAACCCAGAAGAAGCTTGAGGAGCTTAGTGGTTTAGTGAAGTGGTTCTTAGACTTTGTTGAACATCAGAATCACATGGGAAGCTTAAAATTGCAAACGCTGTGATCTCACACCCAGTGTTGTGGCTCAGTAGATCTTGGCACGGAGTCTGGGCATCTGCATTCCACAATTTATTATTATTTTTTAAAGACTGTTTTTATTTACCATTGGTATTACTATTTTAAAATTTGCTACAGGGCATGCGTGTTCACCAGAGAGAGAGAGAGAGAGAGAGAGAGAGAGAGAGAGAAAGCCATCAGGTCCGGGACTTGAACTGTGGATGGCCGTATGAGAGTCCAGTGCCCTAACCACCATGCCACCTGCTGGCCTCAGCATCTGCATTCTAAATAGGCTTCCCTGGGATTTCTGGAGCAGGCCAGGTCTGTAAACTCCTGACTAAGTGACCTGAGATGAACGGAGGAGAAAGATGGTGAAGTCAAACAGGGCATGAGCCATTGAAATCTTTGCTGTGGTGTTAGGAGAAGTATGAGGGGTAGGGACAGAGGTTGTTGAAAGGATGAGAAAACCTTGATTGTTTCTTAAGGGTCAAATCAGTAGGTTAAAATGGACTTTGCACAAATTATTAAATTGAGAAGATTATCCTGAATTATCCAGGTGGGCCCTAAATGCAATCGCAAAGTCCTTATAAGAGGGAGGCAAGGTGGGAACCAGCAGTTAGCGTAATGGCTATGTCGCTGGACTCCCACGTAGTCGACCGCGGTTCGTGTCCCGGACCCGGTGGCTTAAAACTCACGCCGGGCGCGTGTGCGTGCGTGCCCAAGATCCCGGGAGGAGAATGGAGGAGAAGGGATTGCGGCGTGACCATCCCCCCTGGGGGGTGATTTCTCGCTTTCTGTCTCTATGTCTCTCTCTGTCTGGCGAGCGCATGCACCCTATAGTGAAAACAAACCCTCTCAAAAAAAAAAAAAAAAAGAGGGAGGCAAGGTCAAAGGAGAAGCAGGCGTTGCGATGCCAGAAGCATGACGTTGGAGTGACGAGAAGAGGGGACCTGAGGCAGGGGATGAGAATGGCTCCCAAAAGCTGGAAAAGGCAGGGAAACAGATTATCTCCTAGACTCTCCCTGGTGGCACCTGGGCTTTAGTCCAGTGGGATCGAGTTTGATTTTCTGGCTATAGAAC